TTCGCCGCCGTTGTCATCACTCAGTCGCCACTTTTATCATCGCTCAGTTCGTCGCAGCGTCGCTATCCAGTTCGACGTCGCTGCACCACCTCCGGAGGTCCCTCACGTCGAGCATGTTCAGGCCGACGAAAGTTTCGTTTTCTCTCTATTTTTCTGTTAATCTCATTTTATTAGTTAATTGTATGAGTATTCTATCTCTAAACTCTTATCATATATTCACTGCTTAGATTATATTTGTGAGTTGAGAGTAATTGAGCATGTGACTGTTAAAATTTGATATTGATTGTAGAACTTGTGCATGATAATGAATATTGCAATTAAATTGATTGAGATGAGAATTATTCATAATTATTGATGCAAACTTTGTTAAATCCATCTGTCATATTAGTTGTTTTGAATTTAATTCCTGTCAAAGATCATGAAATTTGGTGAAATGATGTGTTATTTAAATTAAATCGCTGATTTTGATAGACCCTCTGTCCTGTTTCATATCATTTTTGGTATCAGAGTATAGTTCTAGTTTAGGAACATTTTTATTTATTTCTAGATTAGTTTAATTGAGTCTTTTATTTGTTATTAAAAAATTATCATTCATCTCATTTAGCTGTTAGTGCATACCATTCATCTCATTTAGTTATTAGTACATGCCCACTCGCACAGGTCTACCCTATCGATTAGGAGAGTCTACTGAATCGTCTAGTGAGTCCAGCATGTCAGGCAGTACAGATTCCAAACTCCTTAAGAAATTCGATGAGCTAGTAGGACAACTAGGTGTCATAGCCCACGAATGTAGAGCTACCCGCGAGGCCCTGACAGACTTCCAAAACGTAGCCAATGATAGGCTCGCTAGGCTTGACGAAGCGCGCATTACTCTGCCTCCGCAAGGTCAAGGTTATGGACACATCGTTCATCGACCCCCACCTCAACCCGTGCCTGATCTAGATGCTCAATACCTGAGGAACATTAAGATCGAAGCACCAACCTTTGATAGTAAGCTCGATCCACAAGTTTTCTTGGATTGGTTAAAGAACATGGATCGCTATTTTGATGGGTACGCCCTGACGGAACCCCGAAAAGTCAAGTTTGCAGCAATGAAATTTATCGGACCAGCCTGCCAATATTGGTCCAAACTCGAAATGTTAAGATATATTAGAGGTGAGTTACCAATTTTAACTTGGCGAGAAATGACCGACGAGCTAAAAAGGAAATACCTCCCTTCAGTTAAAATTAATAAGCCGTCTATAATGGAATCAAAATATATTCTTGAGAAAACTGTTAAACAAGCCGTAGATTTGACAGAATCTAACTCCGACAAGAAAATCTGGGATAGTAAAATTGAAAAACTATGCACTTCCATTTCTTCTGAAACTACCCCTGCAATTGTGGAATTGACTGAAGTTTCATGCAATAACGACACTCCGATTATTTTCCAAACTACTCATTTGATCACGGAGTTCACTATGTTGTCTCTGAAGTTGTTCCTGAAATTAAAACTCCAACTCCTCCTGAACTCACTCCAGTGATTGAAAACGTTGTTGATGTTCCCCATGAAGTCCTCCCGGATAAACATGAATCTATACATGACACCCAACACGTTCACTCAGATATCTGTATGGAAGTTGAATCCCAAACTGAGCATAGTAAAATAACTCTCATATTAGATATCAAACCACCATACGTTGTCCCGACAGTCACTCACATATACACTAATCCATTTTGGAAATATATAGTGATTAGGGATACAAGTTTGCGCACGAATGTTTTCATTGATATTCGACCTAAGCTTGACATTTTAAATGAACCGCATACCTTGCAGAGTATTTCCTTTCTCCCTTATGTTAAGCGCACAAAAACACTCCTCTTTCCTGCATTTGTTTGCATGTTCCTCACTATCACTGTTAGAATAGGAAATTTGTTATGCATATTAATGAAGGAACGCCTAATTATTCCATTTGATAGAGGACGTCATGCATGTTAGACACTTCATTGAGTTTACATCTGCCATTAATCGCATTGTCGAGTCTGCATGTCATACATAGTCATTTGAGTTGATTTGCATCATTTTGTTTTGATTTGCATTGATCATATATTGGGAAATCAATGATCTAATTTGAATAAATACATTGTTAACTAAAATGTATGATATGAAGTCAGGACTTAATTTAAAACTATTAATGTTTGAGATTGTTTGGACTTGTTCAATACAGTTTCTTTTATAGTTGTTTGAGATTTGACATGATATTTATGAATTTTTTCAACTCTTGAAATAATTAATGGTAATATTTATATTATCGATTTGGTTATAGTTCTATTCTCAATATTGATTAATTAAGCAGTTCACAATGTTTATTGATAGTCTACTGATATAAGCCTGACCCTAACCTATTGTTTCTGAGAGTTCTTTCACTTTACCTCACTTCTATATATTCACTCATGAAGTAGTGAATTTTGATAATATTTTAGATGGTGAATTTACGTTGTAATCAAGCTAATGATTTGAGATGCACAAAAGTAACTGACGACAGATTAAGATGCAGCCAGAGTATATTGAAGAAGACAAATTTTTGCAACTAACTCGACGGAGTCGAGTTTTCTCCCACTCAGGGAGAATGATGAGGACAATAATGATAATTTGCCATATTTGTTATTTGACTTTCTTTTATTTTAGTTTTGAGTAAGGAAGATTTGACAAGTTTGACCAGATCTTAATTTAGTATTAATTGTGAGAGATTTGAAAGATTTTTTATTTTGGTAGGATTTTAAATTTGAATTTTGAATTTTGAATTTTGAATATTTGAGGCAAATTTGGTAGTAAAAAAAGAGATTTAAATCAATAAAAAAATTTGTTAACTCATTATTAGTGTGAAGCCTCTGGTGTGAAACCCTAGGCCGACGGGTGTGAAACTCTAGGTCGACTCCCCTGGCTCCTCTTCCACAAGCAGCTGCCACCCTCCCATGTTTCTTCTTCGTTTTTCCAAACAACCGTCCCCGCTCTTCTCCTCCTCCAACAGCCTCTACCGTCGCCTCCTCCCCTGCTCCCTTCTACTTCAAGCAGCCCAACCAATCACCCCCCACTTTGAACAGTCCCGACGAACTTACTCATGTTCTCCTCAACTACTCATGTTCTCCTCCACCTCGAGTAGCCACCCTTTCCTCCTTCACAAACCGCCAGATCCATCTCAAACAACCGTCGTTGTCGTCTCGCCCGCGTGCACTCATCAACCACATTCTCTCGTCACCCACGTCGCCAGTTTACACGTTGACCCGCGCCCTCGTCTTCACTCAAATTCATTGCTGTCGTCGTCACTCAGTTCGTCGCCATTGTCATCACTCAGTCGTCGTCATTGTCGTCGCTCAGTTCGTCGTCACGTCGTCATCCAGTTCGACGTCGTCGCACCACCTCCAGATATCCTGTTCAGGCCGACGAAGGTTTCATTTTCTCTCTATTTTTCTGTTAATCTCATTTTATTAGTTAATTGCATGAGTATTCCATCTCTAAACTCTTATCATATATTTACTGCTTAGATTATATTTGTGAGTTGAGAGTAATTGAGCATGTGACTGTAAAAATTTGATATTGATTGTAGAACCTATGCATGATAATGAATATTGCAATTAAATTGATTGAGATGGGAATTATTCATAATTATTGATGCAAACTTTGTTAAATCCATCTGTCACATTAGTTGTTTTGAATTTAATTCCTGCCAAAGATCATGAAATTTGGTGAAACGATGTGTTATTTGAATTAAATCGCTGATTCTTATAGACCCTCTGTCCCGTTTCACATCAATGAATCCCCTTCCCGTGGGAGAACTCAAACACGGGGCTCATCATGGGTAATGGAGTGTGCTAGCCAAGGTTCCCTCGTCACCAAAAAAAGAGATTCTAGAGGTCGATTTTATGAATCCTCCTTCAATAACAAGTTTTTATATGTCTTCAGATTAGTTTTCTAAAGTTTTGCCCCTCTATTTGGGACCATTCTGTGATTTTTCATTTATTTATTTTTAGGTTTATTTTATTATTTTATTTTTATTATTTTATTTTGCGAATGCCCTTGATGGATACAAACTATGGAAATGACAAGTATATGAGCATAAATTGTATAATTGGACCCCCAAAGCTAGTAAAAGGACGGAAGAAAAAACTAAACTAGTTTGAATGGAAAAACACATTAAAAAAAAGGAAATGAACCTACTCTGATGGTGGCCTGCAGCAACCTGCTTCGATAGGATTCAGGTTTGCTGATTTATACTCCTTCAATGTCTGGAATGAATAGAAATTTGTTATAAGCAGAAACATCTGCGCCACAATTCAGATTTCGTACCTTATACTTCTTTGGTAAGTCGTCACAGTTCTTAGACTTCACAAGGCAACTCTTCAAGCGTCTCCAGTTTTTGGTATTATTGAGCTTGTATAAAATATCAAATCAAATGATCAGATCTGGTGTTTATAGCAATGATCTATGAACAGCTAAGAAAATGCAGGCAATCACAAGAAAGCTCACTTGCACCAAAAACCAAGAGTGATAATCTTGAAGCTGATACTCCTTGTACCTGAAAACATAGCACAGAAACAACTGTTTATTCGCCATTTTAGAAAAATTGGACTAGAAATTTTCATGACTAATCTTAATCAATGACATAGTGAGATTCTATCCTTAACAGTAGAACTCCTGAAATTATCACCATAGATTTCATGAGGGATAGACTCCAATATGAACCCATTCATATGGGGGAAAAAATCACAGAGAAAATGCAGGAATCATCATACAGCAAAATTTGGTAATAACTTTCATAAGTCATGATTTGCTTAAAGGTTACAATTAAGAATTTGTCAGAGCAACTGTGAAGCCTGAAGGTAAGTTAACCGAATCTAAATATTGCAAGAACACAATGTTTAGCCTAAACTGAGTAGATAGATGTAATCTTCATGTCTCGTAGTAATGAATAAAACAAATTGGTTTCACAAGCCAAATTTGAGTCTTACCTCTGCCCAGATACATGATGACCAGATCCATTATTAGTCACAATGAACCTACAAGAACAATATGGTCAAATGAGCTGTCAATAATAACAGAAAGTAAATGAATCCTGTGTTACGTTAAACTTGAGATAAATAATACACCGTTTACATTTCTTATAGTTGCACAATAGTTAGGCTATTCACGTGTGAGGATTGTCTACAAGAACCACTGAAGTTTGACAAAATAAACACTAGCAAAAAATGGACTAAGGTTGAATGCCAAACAAGCTTGATAAACTTATAAGCTATGATGCACGGATACGGATACGAGACAGGGATACGACACAGACACGGATACGGGATACGTCAAAATCCAAAAAAATAGGATACGGGGATACGACAAGGATTTTTTTAAATTATTATTATATATAGAAAATTTTATAAAATAAGAATGGAGGGTGGACTTGAGGAGTCAGAGAAAGGAGGAGTCGGTCGGCGGGATCGGGTCGGAACAGCAGAGCGGTCGGCGGGATCGGGTCGAAAAACCCGCAACTCGAAGGAATCGACCTTCGGCGAATCCGATCCGTGTCCGAGCTCTTTTGACCGTGACCGAGCTTAATTTGACCGTTGACCCGTGTCGGACACGGATTGATCGTGTCTGACACGTGTCGTGCACGTGTCGCGACGAATCCGTGTCCGATTCGAGTCGGACACGGATTCGTGGCCTCCGGGGACGAATCCGTGCTTCAGAGCTTATAAGTGCAGCATTATGACATGAGAAAAAAATGCTTATAAAAGAACAGGTATCTGACATTCTTAAACCAAAGTAATGTAACAGAAGAAATAAATTTTCAGCCAAGCTAAGCACTTAGCAGACAATAATTAGTTTCTGCAGTTTGCAATGTAAAGATGAAACAAGAGAGGTTGAAGTATCAAATAGAAATCTACATGGTAAGTTAAGAGACCACACAAGCAAAAAACTTATTATAAGAAGCAATACAGTGCACTGGGCATCTATCAAGTAAATGATTAATTTCTACATAAAAATCAATAATTAGCATGACTAAATTGAAAATGTAAACTTCTTAGATGGGAGAATAACCCCAAAAAGAATCTACTTGTCTTTCTATATCCCTTTGAATTAGAGGCATGTTATACATCAATAAATCATTGTGAAGGCAAAGCAAAACTGGATGCTTACATATGTATTTAATCTCACATGGCAACCAATATGTTGTGTATACTAGGAAATGCATCACTCTCAGACACCCAAATAGAGTAAGTATCTTCAATTTCCAATTCCCGTTCAACTAAGAAAATCTCCTTATGTCATTGCTTTCAGTAAATCCCTTTTACTGATGCTAAATATTATAATTTTCTCTATCAACTCGCAGCCATCTGTCAGATATCTAAAGGAGACAACTAAATTTGCATTTATGTGCAAGGGAACTTTGTGGCACCAATATTAACGTCCTAACCCTCACAAGGTCAGTTATAGCATTCAAATATCCATTATGATATCATCATCATATATGAAGTGTTTTAAGTGCACATCATATTGTAGGGTATGTTATCAACACTGTTCTGATAGCAAATACAACATATACCTAATAATTTGGAGCCAATTATACAAATGATAATAATTCATCGCATATGCTCTGTGATGTTACTATACCCTTATCTCATTTCATTCTAAATGATGTTCATTTGTCTGATTGCAATGAGCCTCATAGCTCCTCCAAATACTAATCATAATGTGATAACTCGTTAATTAATAATCTAATTTCCACTGCAGAATTTTCCCCCTCTCATACAAAAATATCTAGGTAATTTAATGTCACCCTTAGTCCTTCCCATGTAAATAAAATCCAATTTGCTTATCAGTTCCACCTTGTACAAAATCAGTTCTTTTTCCCCTCATAACCTTCATTAATATGCAACATTAACTGTAATAAGAACCATAAAGTTCTCCCATAAAAGCAAGCTAATTAAAGATTGCAACAGTACTAAGTAATTAAAAAAAGATTGGTATAGTACTAAAATGACTTTAGAATAATAGGATACTGTATGCATTCAATTGCTATAAACTTAAATGACTTAAGAATAATAGGATACTGTATGCATTCAATTGCTACAAACATTGGGACGTATCAAGAGACTTAACTATGAAGTCAGAATGGAAAACTTACGCCAGCACAGTAAAGACGAGTATTGCCACCAAAACCAAGAACAGCATAATCAGGTACTGAATCTCATGTCAAGGGAAATTTAAATTCAACAAACGGATAGATTTGTTGAACAATACGGATACATAGTAAACATGAATCAATTAAAAAAGGATACCATCCACAACAATACGGTGATATTCTTCAATGCGCCTAGGAACCCAATCAAGGATCTGAAAATTGCAACTAAGATTAACTGAAACAAGAACAACTACAAAGAAAATTGTATCTAATAAAAGTAATGGCGTAAATCTCACATTATAAGGATCAGTGCTCCAAGACCCATAACAGGAAGGGTTAAGGACTTCCGACATTCATCATGGTGTGTGCTCATCCACACACCAAAACAGATTACTGCAATTGCTAGAATCTGTTGCATCAAATACAGAGATGAATTCAAGACATGAATTACAAAAAGGCTTCAGCAATAACTAATAGAAGAGGTAAGTAGCACGCTCTTATTTATGCAAAAAAAAATAGAAGTAAAACTATAAACTATATAGTGACGTGTCGATGTAGTTTTCCATTTATTTATAGTGTGCTGATTAACAGAGGTATTATTGCTATTACTGGATATCTATATCAGAAGAAAAAACACATTGGAGTAGATTATGGGCTTCTCAGACAAAAGATGATAGAAGGAAGGATCCTCTAGGCTAGAGATGTTTCATTTGCGAATAAAATAGCTGCTTTGCTGACTAAGCCCCATGCACAATCACAGGTGCAGCTCATTCCTAACAAGTTCCGCATGCATTACATGTATGCTCCAGCAAGGGCTTATAGATAAGATGATAGACAGATTCATTGGTTATCTCGACAAGTTGTTCTCAATTTCCTGAATCTTCTAAAGAGACTACATATATTTATAAAGAACCACAAGTTTCTATCTTAGTATTATGCCATTTGTCACACCCCGGGCCCGCAGGCCCGTTGGCGCATGCAAGCCGTGGGACGCACCGTGTAACGCACTGTTTGGCTCAAACCATTGCCAAAATCGACTAGCAGATGTTACACTTGAGTCTTTAGCTTTCACTATATAAACACCTCAATTTCCCACTCTCCCACCGATGTGGGACTAAATTAGTGGGATGTCACATTTACCCCCACCTTACAAAAGCGACGTCCTCGTCACGGCATGACAATTAGCATATCCCAGTATCACCGCCAGGCGATGTGGACTCTAGAGGTGACTCCTACAGGCTCTAGAGGTGGCTCCCACCGTATCCACACGGTATGTGGACTCTAGAGGTGACTCCTACAGGCTCTAGAGGTGGCTCCCACCGTATCCACACGGTATATTACTTAGCCCCGCATAGCACTTAGCTCCATACTTCCGGCTGGCAACTGCTCTGATATCATTTGTCACACCCCGAGCCAGCAGGCCCGTTGGCGCGTGCAAACCATGGGACCCACCGAGTGTAACACACTGTTTGGCTCAAACCACTGCTAAAATCGACAAGCAGATGTTACACTTGAGTCTTTAGCTTTCACTATATAAACACCTCAATTTCCCACTCTCCCATCGATGTGGGACTAAATTAGTGGGATGTCACACCATTGGCCTGAGCAATTGATATATGTTGGAAGTAATGCTATCCGGTGATGCAAAAAAGATGAAATTGGTCAAAATTCACTTTACCCAAAATCTTAACTGATTGGCTTGTAAGCAAACTGATGGGAGTGGCGCAAGGGCTTTGATCTGGAGGCTAGAAATATTCGACGGCTTGGTGGAATGATGTTGTACTTCATGATGGACATTAATTGATATTAGTGTTCACATGTGAACAGTACTGGCACTACTGTTCACCAGCGAACAATAATGGGCGTCACTGTTCCCCTGAGATGACAGGTTTTAGGACTATTTGGTGGGTTTTTTTAATGATCTTTTGATGATAGGATAAATGGTTAAGATGCTTAAGGAGTGAATTTTAAATGAAGGATATTGTAATTGGAGGTCTAGTATAAAAGAAGGGCCTCACACCCAACGCCATCACACCCAGACACGTCTGATATGGGTGTATCTTCTCTTCGGAAAAGCGATCCTCATGGGAGCTTGAGGATAGGTGATTCTCATGATATCTTGAGAATAGTGGTGTGAAGCGACACGACGGAGCACAAGATGGAACGTGAAGCGAGTCGGAAGAACGAAAAATCAAATATTTCAGTTCTCAGCCTGATGAGTCGACTGACGGGTTGATGAGTCGACTGACGGTTGATGAGTCGACTGACAGGTTGATGAGTCGACTCAAGAAAACACCTCCAGATAGCAAAATGCTTCTGCTGAGTCGACTCATGAAAATCATGAGTCGACTCGTGCAGGCCAGCACAGTTTGTGCACATTTTGAGTCGACTATGAGTCGACTGGTGATCATGAGTCGACTCATCTCAGTCATGAGTCAACTCATAGAGGTTTCTTGGGCAGACTTTGTTTCTGTTTTGAAGGAATCCTAATTGGGTTTGGTTTTGGTTATTTACCAGATTACCACCATGTTGTAAACCCTATAAATAGGGACTGTTTAGGGTTCTAAACAGAAGGTGAGATGCCAAGATGTAGATCTAAAGGGTTTTAGGTCTAAGTGAGATCCTGATCAAAAGGATTGGAGTTTAGATTGTGATCATCTTAGAGATCTTAGATCAGAGAGAGATTCTAATCTCTGTATTAGGGTTTAGAGAGGATTGAGAGGTTGTTCTCGATTCTAGTGAGATTGTGAGGGAGAGATTGTAATCTTTTGTTCTTCATAATCTAGTAGAAGGTATTTTCCTTCGCCATACTGAATTGTCTTGAGTTTCTTTTCTTCTCAACCCATCTTTTGATAATTCCGCGACCAAATAGTACTCGCACGGCAACTCGTATCAACGTCACTTGTCAATGTCATAATTTTAGCACTTCACATGCTAACAAAGATATCACATCTCAAGAAATTTTCTTTTCATTAATCATAGTTTGGATCCTGATAGAGTATTACAGCTTTATTTATAGAGAAAAACTAAACCTAGAAGGCAAATCAAATCCTAACCAAATCCTTATAAAAAATAAACTAAGATCTCTAACAAAATAAATCTTAAGAGGTCCTAAAATCCTAAAGCAAATCCTATAGAGATGTAACCTAAAATTGGAGGTTACATTAAATATTACTAAAATAAAAATTGGAGATTACATTAAATATTACTTAAATAATAAAAAATACCAGCAAATTTACAAAATTCTTGATCAGCGGCCAACGATCGTCCTGCATCACAGTTTACTAGTGCTCTCCCTGTAAAAATAGGCCAGGTTTCACCAGATCACATGTATATTATTGTGTTTTCTTTGTGATTATCCTCTTCATGGTTGTTGATTCTAACTGCTTAGTTTTCTCGCTGATAATCATCTCCACTACATGTTTGTCTCCATTGCATGGATCTAACGCTAAAGCCTAAAACAGCTTGTCATTGATATCAACAGAAGGTTATTTAGATTTACTAGTGTCCATGCTAATTGGTTGGTTGGAAGAGATTGATAATTTTGAATGCAACATAAGTGGATGGGCGAATTTCCAAACAGGTTGGTCCCCTGTGTGCTACTGATGCTAGTGATTGTGATTTTAGTGTGTTCCTAGCTCTGTCATGTTTTAAATTAGAAAAGATAAGTGAAAGTAAATGTTCCTCCAAGGAACAATGTGACTGTTAGATATCATTGGTATGTAGGTTTAGGAGATATTATAAGATATTGTGAGAAGTGATTAGATATCATTTTATCTCATACCTATTTTATAATATCCTCCTAATCTCTTATAAGAAAGATTATGGTTGGATGAATAATAACTTTAGCTTTTCTATTTCTTTACATGGCACCTACTTGATCCTAGCAACTTCTTTCATCTTTCTAGATCTCTAGGGATGTCAAGGGCTTTTTGCATGGCCTTCATGCTCCCCTCGGTGGCTACGACAACATCGTCGACAGCTTCGATAATATGTTTTATTTCTACATCATTTGTTTACTAAATCGTTGTTGAAACACAATAAAAAAACCTACCTCTGAAAAGTCTTAACCTCAAAAGGGAAAATGGTGCCGCTTATCACAGTACTGTTCATCAATGAACAGTAACCCACGTGAACTATTCAAGGTGAACAATATTGCAATTTGTCATCCTCCAATGGTCGGATGCAAAAGTATGTAGTTGATTCTAACATTGCTTCTACTAGCTGACCTGCTTGGGGTTTCCCTCTACTGTCTGATCCGCCTAGGGTGGATGACCCGTCTAGGATTTCTTTCTACTAGCTGACCTGCCTAGAATTTATATTGGCTGACCCACCTAAGGTTTCTACTAGTTGACTACACTTTTTTAGTTGCTGACGTCTTCAAGTATTTCAAATAAAAATGACATTGTCAAAACTCTTGTAGCCATTTTTTTTGTAACATATGTAGTAATATATGCTCCAACTTGAAGAGGAGTGTTAGATGTTATTGGTATAGGCAAGGTTTTAAATGTCGGCCGACATGTCCGACATGCCGGTCGACATATCGGTTTGAGAGCTTCACCGACACGACATGGACGTTTTCAACTCATATGTCGGTTTTCAGGACCAAATTGAAAATATCAGGGTTATATCGGGCATATCGGCCTATTTTTAGCTTTGAAAATCGGCCGATATGGTACTTTTTTTAAGATCTGTTTTTTGTTATCGGGTTTGGGTTTAGTGATAAATACCCAAACCCGTTTGACCCGTTCTCAAGTTTAAGGGTTTCTTATGAACCCGATAGAAAGAATTTATGAACCCAAATCCATATATTATTTACTTTTTTATATGTTGTCTATAAAATTTATAAAGTATGCTTATATTGAATTTATGAATGCTTAGATTATATTTAGGACATTATATTATTCATATGCGCACTACCCGATATGGCAATCCGATATTTAGTCAATGTCCCCCGATATATCTCCGATTTCCGCTATCCGATATGGATTTCAGCCATCCGACATGAACCCGACATCCGACATTTAAAACCTTGGGTATAGGTTTAGAGATATTATGAGATATTGTTGAGGTATTGTAAGATATGATTAGGTATGATTTTATCTCATACCTATTTTGTAATATCCTCCTAATCTCTTATAAGAGAGATTATGGTTGGATAAATAATAACTTTGGCTTTTCTATTTCTCTACAGCAACCAAAGAAAAAGGCATATGCAAATAGAATTTGACATATTAGAGAAGGCATACATCATGCATAGAACTTCACCCCTCACAAAATACAAGCTACTAAAAATATTGAATCAATTTGTAATCAGTCTATAATCTATTTAATGGATGAACATGGTTGTAGCATTTTATTCAAAACTGAAACATATCTACCAGAAAACTCTATAAAATGTTGAGAAACAAGTCTCACACTCTCACTTCAACCGAGCCTATTTCAATGAAATTCACAAGTTGGCCATTGATCCCTATCGAGGTGAAGAATAGGAAAACTATATTTTACATGGAAAGAACCCATTAGAAATGTCAGCCAAAACTTAGCATTGGAAACCATATTGCAACTGGGATGATCTTAACATTATTTATTTTTCATTTTGTAGCTGACATGACGAGTATGATTGAACTACAGAGGATTTACCAAGGAAGGCATCGAATGATCATGTAAGTGATCAAGAGGTACTACAACTTTTCTATTACTTTAGCACTACTATAAATAAAAGAATGAGTCATTCCATTCTATTGTTTATAGTAGTGTCAAAATAATAGAAAAGTTGTAGTACACTTACTATGTACTCAACCGTCAATTTGTTTTGCTATTAGAAAGGTAAAATTTTATTGCTACTAATTGGCAAATGACTATTCATAAACTTGCACTTAGAATTAAAACTAGTTTGCGGTCCTTTTTTTTTTTTTTTTTTTTTTGCTACAGTAATCCCGCTTTTTTAATATGCCATGCTTTGAATTTTTGAAAGTGCTACAGTATCCCGCTCTGCTACAATACCTCTTAAAATGCTACAGTATACCCGTGTGCTACAATAATATTTTTAATTAATTGTTAGCTACAGTAATAATGCTACAGTAAATGCTACTGTAGCATTTACTGTAGCATGAACAGTGAATCTCTGATCCTCCTATTTGTATAAATGAATATATATATATATATATATATGGGAAAAGTGAATCTAAGGTGACACCCTAGGCTCCCACCTAAGGACGCGGCCTAGAATCACATTATTTCCTAAAAAAAAATTACGATCCGCTCCGTTAAACTTGATCTACACGGTCTTAAACCCAAACACACCAATTTTGGAGTGAACCCATCATGTTTTGACCATTCGTTGAGCCGTGCAAAAAGTTCTATTCTTTTGAAACCGTTAAAATTGCAGCGAGTGGATATAGGGCCTGTTTGGATTTATAAGGGGTGAAGGGAAGTTAAGGGAAACTGAGAGAAGGAAAGGGAAGGGAAGGGAGTTCCCTTCCCCTTGGTTACATCCCAATTTGGGGGGTAACAAATTTTATACTATTAGGGGGTGAACCAAGGGGAACTAGGGTGAATTAACTTCACCTCCTAAGTTTTCCCAAACAAGGTGAATGGAAGTGAATGGTTCCCCTAACTTCCCTTCACCCTCATTCCCCTCAATCCACCAAACAAGGTGAATGGAAGTGAATGGTTCCCCTAACTTCCCTTCACCCTCATTCCCCTCAATCCAAACGAGCCCATAGGGTCAAAACACGAAGGGTTCACCCTAAAATTTGTGTGTTTGGGTTTAAGAACGTGTAGATCAAGTTCAACGAAGCGGATCGCAAAAAAAATTAGAAAATGATGTGATTTTAGGACGCGTCCTTAGGTGGTTTATAACGGATTAAAAGAAACCCATGTAGAATTTGTAACAAAAATAGACAATCTAGAGGCAGAACCAAGATCAAACACTTCACATGCATTGAACAGAGGAAGAAAATTGACAGCATATGTTACTTCTACAAGCAAACTTAGCATAGAGGCCACATTGCAACCAGGCAATCGAACACTAACCAACAAAGAAAAGGTTTCCATATGATGGTAATTCATAACAAGCTAAAGACACCCATGTAGAGGTTTGGCACACAAGTAGACTTTTATAGTCAGAACCAAGATAAAACACTTCACATGCACTAAGGAATAAAATCGACAGAAAATGTAACTTCTAAAATGAAATTTAGCATGGCAAGGATATTGCAACTTAACAATCTAACAAACAAAAAAGGCTCCATAACATGGCAGCTCATAACAAATTAAAGAACCCCATATGCAATCTAAAATTTACCAACAAAGAAAAAGGGCTCTATATCATGGTAATTCACAGCAAACCAAAGAAACCCATGTAAAAAATTGTAATAAAAGTACACATTCTAGAGTCAGAACCAAGATCAAACACTTCATACGCATCACAACGGGGACAAAGTTGATCATGAAACTTTGAGAGGTTACTTGAAGCACTCACCATAGTAAGAAAATTTATCCACCTTATCACAAAAGTGCTAGTTCCTGTGCTCATCTTTGAGAGAGAAAGAGAGAGATCTGTGGACAGAGGGGGGGGGACAAAGTGGGCAGTTATCAAAGAGAGAGGATTTAGTTCAAATTTAAAAAGTGCCAACCAAAATCCAGATGTTACCCCTTTCGCTGGTGTTGTACAGTATCAGGCAGGGGTATTTTAGTCAACGAGGAATGAACAGAGATGTTTGTCTCTTGTACTCAAAAGCAGAAGAAGAGGGGGGCTTCACTGTGAAAGCCTCTGCTCCGCATGACACGAGGAACGTGGGTCCCAGTGTCAGTGAGAGGGTGGATTGATGGGTACAGGATGTGTTAAAATGAGAGTAGCGTTTGGGATACCTAATGCTGGCCGCTTTGGGAACTAGAGTTGTGGAAGCGAAGTTTAAAGACATGGGTGTTTGGGAATAAAGATCAAGACAAGTGGGTCTGAAAAAGTGTATTTATTATTTATTTATTTATTTATTTATTTGGAATAATTGAGTTATGTACGAATGGTTATTTATGATTAGGGTTTATTTTCTTTAAGCTCAGAGCTTTAACCTGATTTATTTTTAGTTTTTCCCACCTCTTTTTTGGGTTGGGGGATCACATAGTTATGTAGTGTATTTGACAGATCGACTTTAAAGACAAATATTATAGTTGATTAGGTTTACAGGTATAAGTAGAACTACTTGGAGTTAAAGGTAAATCAGGGTAAGCTTTGGATTTAAAGGCAAAAACCCTTATGATTCATGGAGTGCAGGCTAAATAGGTGCACATTATTTATAGTTGAAGATCATGCTCTGCATAGTTTTTCTTCGTTTGTTTTAAAAATTTTGATACAAAATTAGTACTATAATAATAAAGTAAACATCTAGTTGCATGTTTTTGCCATTTAGCAAATCCAAAGAGCTCTAATCAATATACTTATATTTATATAATAAAATAAAAAATCATGTTGTATGTTTTAGCCACTTGGCAAATTCTTAGAGCTTTGCTATGTAATAACTAATAATCTTTTTTTCACCATATGATTTTAATCTACTACCTTTGGCATCTTTGTCTGTCAATTCCCTATGAATCATTGATTTTGTTCTCTCTTTCCAAAAAAAAATTTTATCTTCAATCTTTCCACATATTCCAATATGCATGCAAGAATATTAAATTAAATCTCATGCATCTTGAAAATGTCTATTCTTTGTCATTCAATTCCCTATAAATTATTGATTTAATTCTCTCTTTCCAAAAAATATCTTTTTTTGTTTTCTCTTTTTTCCCAAAATTCTAATATACATACAAGAATATATTAATTTAATTAAATCTCGCCTTCACATAGGTAACAACTAGTATGATGACTATACTACTATAGTAAATTTATATCTATCTATATTAGCTATACTATTATATTAAAATTTTAGTGGGGGTACCAAAAAGTTTGAAGGATATTTTACATCCCAATAGAAATGTGAGGGGTGTATAGGTAATTTTTCCTTCTTTTTCTTTTCTTTTTCTAAAACATTCTAAGCTATAATATGAATATGCAAGTAGAACTTACTAATTAATTATCTTCACAACACATATGGTAAGAGATATAAATATAAACTATAGGGCTCCTATCTAATAAATTACTAGATATGAATGAGTAAAAATGCAATAATTAAAAATTCCATACTTTTTTATCTAATCTTATCTAAAGTCAAAATATATCCACATAATTGGGTTAAAAATAATTAAATATAATAATTTGATGATAAAATATGATACATACTCTTCTTATTCATATTATTTATAGTAATTTTAGGATGATATTTTAAAAATAATCCACCAAATTACGATGTACTCTATTTTTGTTCATTAAAATTATATTACTAGTCAAAATAAAATACACGTTGCACTGAATTTCAAATAAGCTAACATAAACAAACTCATCTCCAATGAAAAAAATTATAAAAATATATTAAACTTGATGAAACTTTAATGTAAGTGCCCCTTCTATATAAAATTTGGAAAGATTGAGTTTATGCGTCTACCACACATGTATTTGCATGTGCAATAATGCTAGTTACATTTAAAAAACTTAGTGAAGAAAAAGTTTGAAGGACATGAGAAACTATCCTTGATCTCAATAAACACATGATGACAATTTGGTCATCACATAAAATTTAAATTATAATTTCAAAGAAGATACTTTCTTCTTTTCATTTTCTTTTTCTAGAATAAACCAAAGCAAAACATGATATATAATTAAAGTCACAAATTAAATATCTACCACATTGTGTGTTATTTATCTATATACTAAGTTTTAGAGAGTTATACTGTAGATAAGCACTGTAGATCATACAATGGCTCGCAAAAACTGTAATAGAGGAGTAGAGTATTTAAAAAAAACAAAACCAAAGGTTAACTTACACAACTTTAAACCCAACCATAAATATACGCATTGATGAATGATACGTGGAATGAAATGAATGCACTGAAGCCAGAACTTCACACGTCCTCATATCTGTATAAAGCATGTTCTTAGCACGTGGACATTATTTGTATTTAATATTATATTATTTAAAAAATTATATATAAACATTTTACAAATTTATTTTATTACACTATGATTAAAAAATTTAACTTATACTATTATTAGTACTTAAACTATTATTAAGATAAATTTAATAGTTATTTAAATTTTCTTATTATTATGTTATTAAATAGTTTATTTAAGAGTATAATTATTAAATAATAATGTAATCGTTAGTTTAAGTAACACTATTGAAATACTTGAATTATTTATATCATTAAATATTTATGTTATGTACATATTTTATTACAATATCTATTAAATAATAGAAATAATTTTTAAACTAACACTATTGAAATAATTGAATTATTTATATCATTAAATATTTATGTTATGTACATATTTTATTACAATATCTATTAAATAATAGAAATAATTTTTTATATTATATGACTTTATGTTGTAAAGTATATTACCTTCTTCAATAATTGATATAATCTTAGTAATAAAAATTGGATGGTATAAACTAAAAATACTATTATTTAGGAAAAATTCTTTATATAAACATATTGGATCCTTTAAAATTATCACACATTAACTTGCCAACAAAAAGTGTATGTCTCATTAATTTTAAGGATCCAATATTTTTATATAAAGTAATTTTCCTAAATAAAAGTATTTTAATTCATAACATCCAATTTTTATTACTAAGACGGTATTATAATGTCAAAAAAGGTAATATTCCTTACAACATAAAGAATCAATCCCAATTTATACTATTATTAAAAATTATAATTATGTAAATTAATTTATTAAAAAGGTAATTTTTACTATTTTATTACAATCAATAATTCTTTATAATGAATTATAATATATTTATTAATTTTATTATCATTATAAATTATTAATATATTCCAGTAAATGACTAAATATTTTGGGGAAAAGAAGAGAAAAATATATGTCTCATAAATTTCAAGGGTCCAAATATTTTTATTAAATCAATTTTCCAAATAAAAATATTTTTGACTTATAAAGTCTAAATTTTTATTACTAAGACGATATTAATTTTTGAACAAGGTAATATTCTTTACAACATAAAGAAATAACCTTTATTTATACTATTATTGGTAATTATAATTATGCACAATAATATATTAAATAAATAATTTTTGCTATTTTATATAATTAATAATTATTTATAATAAATTATTATATATTTATGAATTTTGTAATTATTATAAATTATTAATATATTCTAGTGAATGACCAAATAATTTGAGAAATTGAAGAGGTGCATAGTTAATGAGAGTTTGTGAATCATTAGCTTTATAAATAGTTGTATAATTATGAGTTATAAAAAAATTGAGAGGGTAAAATAGAAAATCAAAAGTTTTGACATGGGTAATGTAATCGTAAGTTAAGTAATACTATTGAAATAATTAAATCATTTATATTATTAAATATTTATGTTATGTACATATTTTATTACAATATCTATCAAATAATGGCAATAATTTTTAATATTATATGACTTTATGTTGTAAAGTATATTACCTTGTTCAATAATTAATATCATCATATAATAAACATTAGATGGTATAAATTAATAATACTATTATTTAGGAAAAATATTTTATATAAACATATTGGATCCTTAAAATTTATGAGACATTTACTTGCCAACAAAAAGTCCATGTCTCATTAATCTTAAGGATCCAATATTTTTAAATAAAGTAATTTTCCTAAATAAAAATATTTTTAATTCATAACATCCAATTTTTATTACTAAGAAGATATTATAATGTCAAAAAAGGTAATATTCCTTACAACATAAAGAATCAATCCCTAATTATACTATTATTAATAATTATAATTATGCACAATAATATATTAAATAAATAATTTTTACTATTTTATTATAATTAAAAATTATTTATAATGAATTATCTTATATTTACGAATAATACATTAAATAAATATTTTTTACTATTTTATATAATTAATAGTTATTATAATAAATTATTATATATTTATGAATTTTTTTTATCATTATAAACTATTAATATATTCTAGTGAATAACCAAATAATTTGAGAAATTAAAGAGGTACATAGTTAATGAGAGGTTGTGGATCATTAGCTTTATAAAAAGTGGTATAATTATGAGTTATAAAAAAATTGAGATGGTAAAAAAGGAAATCAAAAGTTTTGACATGAGTATTCTCTTTTATAAGTAGTATAGATATAGATATAGACATGGTACCAAGCATAAATTTTATGATTGGTAGTGAGATGTCATATTCTCATCCACTCATTTTAATTCTCAACCACTCCCCTGTTAGACCCAAGAGGGGGGTGATTAGGGTCTTATGCTAATCTAATCCGATTTTATGCTAATTAAAACTAATTAATAAGTTATCCTAGCAAGTATGAAATACAACAAGTTATATGAGCTAGGATAAGCAATATGAACAGCAAGAAATATCCTAGCAAAGAGATATAAGCAATATATGATATATGTAAGGATATGAAACTAACACAAGGGGTAAAACAATATGAACTAGATAGTGGATCATATAAATAATGAGCTATGGACAATGGAGACAAGAAATATAAACATATGGTTAAGTGCGCTAAAGCAAACTCAAAACACACGATATGATCATGGAGTTCGGACCTTCCGTCCTACGTCTCCGCTCCCCACTCCCGGGGAGAAATCCACTATCACAACCCGGTTTGGAAGCCGGAACTTCTACACACTCTGTTTACAAGTTCACCGAAAACTCTCACACAACAAACACTATGCAATCACACTCTACACCC